GAAAGGAGGAAATCAGATGAAAAGGTTGTAATTTATTTTTGACCATTTTCACTGCATTTTTCCTATTTTCTACACAAAACTCAGTGAATTTAAAAAGAAAGGAGGAGGAAAAGGAGATTTATGAGGCCACAAACACATTGGGTACATGAAAAACTGGTAAAATTCCTCCAGGTAAATAAAACACAAGCCAGGCAAAAAATCTCACCTAACACAGATCAACAGAAACTGAAGTTTAATTATGCTCCTGCATCAGTGCAAAATCTCCCTCCTGAGTTCTAAATAAGATTTTTCTTTACTGGGAACATGCAGTAATAGATTCTGAATTCCAAAATTGTATTTTTTTTGGCCATATTTCAGCATTTTTCAACATACCTGTCCCCACCATTAGAAAACTGAATGCTGTCAACTTTGTCCTGTAAGAAAAAGTAGAGTTTGTTAGAAATTTTATTTTTTCAATAGGAAATATATTTTTTTTTGATAATTGTGAGTTTAGTAAAATCTGAAATAATGAAAAAATAAAATGTTGTGTTATTTTTAAAGAGTTTTAACTGCAAGGCAAATCAAGTCCAAATACTGCCCTGAATTCACTAACCATTAATGTATCTAAAATCTGCCTGAATTAAACATGAAGGATTAACAGATTAAATAAATGGTTGACAAGTGAATCATATTTAAATATATTTCCAATACCATAAGTCAACTACAATGGTGAGGAATCTGTTGTTCCTACTCCTACTTACACTTTCCTTAAAAAAATAAACAATAATTTACTTTTATCACAATAAAAACTGCAGGAAAAACAGGTATCACACTTTGTCTTGGAGAGAAAAAGTAAAAAAATAAATACTGATCAAGCCTTATCAATGCAACAAAAATCAAGTCAGATTTGGTAGGAGAGGAAATATTAATGCAAATAAAATGAAGAGCACTGCTAAAAACCCACTCATAAAATCATCTTGTGACTTCAATATTGCTGCAAATGACTAATTAGCTAATTACTTACAGCATGACTTTCCAATTCTGCTATTTTCTCAGGTGTTTCAGAGCCAAAAAAATACATCCTGATGACGTGGTCAGTGCTGCCAGTTGCTAAAAACATCCCACCTGTAAAAACCAAGCAATCATTTAGCTGCTGTGGAAGGAATGAAAACAGGTCACCACCATTTCTGAGACCTGGTTTAAATAAAAAAATAACCACAACTATTTGGAGAATGGCACATTTTTTATTAAGGGATTTCCTTCCACACACACTGACACACACGTGTGCAAGGAAATCCCTTTCTTGCCCCAGAAAGTTTTCTCAGCCATAGTGAAAATAAATTTATTACAAAGGTTTTAAAATCTATCTTTAGGGCAAGAGTGGAACTTTTAACATTAAACTGCACAGAGGAGCCTTGAATGGTGGGGAATATGGCTCTGGATAATCAGAATTATGCAGATGACTCTCATTGTAGTCTGGGCCTCATTTGTGCCAGGGAATTGCATCAAAATTAGGCTGAAATGTGAGGAAACCAGTCAAGGGAAGCACACAGGGTGAGCAACCAGGATTTAGCTGAGGGGGCAGAAATTCCAACATCTCCCTCTAAGTGCTGTCAAAAAAACAAAAAAAACCCAAAAAAATCTCCCACCAAACAAGCAAAATGTCAAAAACACCCTCCCAACACAAACCAGGGGTCTGTGCTGACAATGCTAACAAGCCACACTTTGATTTGCTTGTTATTTCTGAAAATCTGCTTTTTATTTCTGAAAATCTGCTTTTTATTTCTGAAAATGTTCAGATTCTGTGAATCTGAAATTCCCATGAGCTGAGTGAAAGGGAACTGCAAGGCAGGAGTGAAGCACATTAAAGATCCAGTTCTGGATCCTTAAGAGGGGAAGATGTTTATGAAAAGATCTTTATGAAAAGATCTTTATGAGATCTTTTACCCCTGGCTCTGGCTCAGGAGCTGCTGCTGGCAGGACTCACCTCCACTGCTGCTTTGGGATGTCAGAAAACCCATTTTGCCAATCCTTGACACTGCATAAGGGTTGGCAAATAAAAATTAAAACTCCACTAAAGATGGACAGAAAAACCCAGACATGAGGTGGCTTTTACCTCTGAAATCACCAATGTCTTTAACAGTTTTTCACTGTTAGCCAAGGGAATCCTCCTGATTTAATCATGGCACAGCTGTGCAGTTATTTCCTCACCACTGCAGGATCTCTCCATGTTAAAGCTGTCACAATCAAGTGTTTCAAGAAAGGAAAGAAGAAATCCCAAGGCTGAATCCACCTGACTTACCCACACTGAAGGAAGAACAAAGCATCTGAACCCCTGGCCTGGGCTTCTCTGTGAACTTCACTGGTTTGGTGCTGGAAAAGAGAAATGTTTGAAATGGGTCACACCACCCAAAACTTGGCTTTTAGCAACGTTTCAAAGCATCAAGGGATGTTTCTTTAAACATGGATCATTTTATACCATGATGGGGCAAAACACCAGGCACACAATGAGCTCTTCTTGGCAGTAATTAATTTTTGGGGTACAAACACAGAGTAATCACAAATGAACATTTCCAACTATCCTGTGTGCAAGTTCTGTAAAAAACACCCTAAAACTACAGGACTTGGAAAACCAATAGCACCACCAAGTTTTATTCTATTTTCCAACACATTTGTATTTCCAGCCAGTCCTGCTGCACTACATTTGTACTTTTAGTGAAGAAAGAAATGATTGCATTTGCCAAGTCAATGGAAGAACATTCATTTATAAAGGATACAGCTGGTGATGCTGCTTTAAAACAACCACTGAATACATGACCTGCCCAGCATTTTTACAACCACAAAAACCCAGTGCAGTCAAAACCACCTGATTTGTTTTACTCAAGCCCAGAATGGCATAAAGGCTACCAACAAACCATTCACATACTTGAATTTCATGGAATCTGTATCCCACTGCCAGAAGCAAACAGTTCCATCTGCCCCAGTGGAGACCATGAACCTCAGGGAGCCTTTCACCATGGGGCTGAACTGCAGGGAGGGAAGCAAAACCACACACACAAACAGATTTAACAATTCTTCATCAACTTATCAAAAAAGTTCATGTAAAAGCTTGATTTAGTTTGGATTTTTCACCTCAGACTGCTGGAGCAGCTGTTGGTAAATCATTTTTAGTGTTTACAAAGAGTACCTTCCCTAATTGAAGGTAAGTTTGTGGTCTGTGTTTCAATTACTGTGTTAAAAACCCAATTCCTGCAGTGGTTTGGGTTTGATGTTTCCACTGACCACAATCATTCACTGAAAATCCTGTCAGTGAATAAAATAATGAGCACAGCAGACTGAGAAAAGGGAAGTTGGAATAGACAGGTGTAGTTTAAAAATAATTCAGCAGAGCATGAGATGTGAGATGGTTTGAATGTGTAATTTAGCATTATATGTGTCTTTATAGGAATTTAATGGGAATTCCTCAGAAAAAATCTTTTATGACATGGATTTATTGCTATGCACAGAGCTGCCCTTCAGAAAACTTTACAGACACAATTTGTTTAAAGTGTTCATAAATTTCTAGCATTGGAAAGTCATATAAATTGTACATAGTGCAACTATGGTATTATTAAAAGTTTTTAAATTAAAAATTCCACACAATGCAATAAAAGAAGTACCATAAGTATTTAGATATTAAAAAACCAAACTAAAAAAATGCAATGAATGCCACAGAAAGTGCAGGTATGAAGATTACTCTCTGAGGCAGCATTTTTGAGAAAAATTTAAAATTATTTGTTTGTACTGAGCTCCACAAGCCACTCTTCACCTGCTGGTCTCACTGGAAAACACCCCAAACCTGGATAATGAGTTATTAATTTCTGTGTTAATTAAGGAATTTAAACCCAGACTGAATCCAAAGGACACCAAGAGCACATAAAGTATCAAACCACCTGCAAATGTAAATACACACATTACACCTTTGTCCTTCTGAAATAATTCCTGTTTTGGAGATTTAAACAAATATTCACATCCTAAAAGTTGTAGGAATAATACACAGGATCAGAACAACTCACAGAAAATAGCAAATCATGTCTCCAGTGAGAGACAACAGGAGGACAGGATATTCCTCAGAAATTCCCTTTTGTTCCAACAACTCAAGTATTATTTCACATCAAGATCAACACAGTGAAAAAGAATTCCTGTCATTATCTTCAGTTAAATATTTAAAAATTCCAGAGAGACAAGGAATTTACTTGTTTCTAAGCAGGTTTATCCTGTGATTTGACATGAATATTTACACATTCAGATTTCACTACTCCCATAGGCAACCCCAGAGAAGGAATTTCAGTTTTTAGCACACAGGAACACTTCAAAAGCCCCATACCTGCAGGGAGGTAATGGAGCCTGTGTGCCCATGGAGGACAGCAACTGGAGCACAAGTCCTCAGACACCACACCCTGATCATCTTGTCACAGCTGCCAGCTGCAATCATGGTGTTCTCATAGTTCACAGCCATGTCAGAGATCTCTGCTGAGTGTCCTCGTAAGGTGGCGAATAATCTGCCATTGTGGGTGGACCAGATCTTCACCAGACAGTCATCTGAGCCCTGAAGAGAAATATTCATTAAGGACAACTTCTGACATGCTTCTGACCTTTAATTACAGCAAATTGTTCCACTTCAGCACAGTGAGGGAGCTGCATTTTACCAGCATTGATATTTATCTCCAGAACTTTCAGCACAACACCCATTTCCAAGCTCTTTTCCTTGCATCATCTAAAACTATGTTCAGAGCTGGATTTATTTCATCAACTTACAGTAAATATTCTGTGTCCAGTCCTGTCAAATGCAACACAATAGACAGAAGAGAGGTGGCCAAGGATCCTCCTGTGCATCTTGACATGCTGGTACATACTCCCTGGGAAAGAGGTGCTGAACTTGGCATATCCAGTTAACTGCTTTGCTCGATGCACCTCCACTGGAACACAGGAATCACATCATTCAAACAGGTCTGCTTTAAAATTTGGGTTTATTCAATTGCCATTAATATAAAAAAATAATTTCATAAAGTCAGGTTTTGTGGTATTTGTAATTTTCTATCAGTGTTTTAGGTGTGCTCAGCAGCAGGGGAGAGGTGAAAGGAGCTTACCAAGGTTGGAATCACATCATGTTTCAAACATGTCTGCTCTAAAATTTGGGTTTATTCAATATTAAAAAGCTATAGAAATTACAGTCAGATTTCACAGAGTCAGGTTTTGTGGTATCTGTAATTTTCTATCAGTGTTTCAGGTGTGCTCAGCAGCAGTGGGAGAGGTGAGAGGAGCTTACCAAGGTTGGAATCACACCATGTTTCAAACATGTCTGCTCTAAAATTTGGGTTTACTCAATTGTCATTAATATTAAAAAGCTACTAGAAATTACTGTCAGATTTCATAAAGTCAGGTTTTGTGGTATCTGTAATTTTTATATTTTAGGTGTGCTCAGCAGCAGTGGGAGAGGTGAGAGGAGCTTACCAAGGTTGGAATCACATCATGTTTCAAACATGTTTGCTCTAAAATTTGGGTTTATTCAATTTTCATTAATATTAAAAAGCTATAGAAATTACAAAGTCAGGTTTTGTGGTATCTGTAATTTTCTATCAGTGTTTCAGGTGTGCTCAGCAGCAGGGGAGGGGTGAGAGGAGCTTACCAAGGTTGGGGGGGGTGCCATAGTTCACAGGCATTTCAGGGGGTCTGCCTCGATGCAGGGCAGCAAATGCAGAGCCCTTCCAAACTGTGTTCCTGCAATCTGCAACAACAGTTGAAATTCATCATAAATATTTATTAAAAATGCCAAGAGAGATGGAGTTCCAAAACACAACAAGAGTCCATCTAGACTGGTCTCAAACCCACCAAAAACCTAGGCACTAATTGCCCCAAAGCTTCTCACAAACAATGAAGAGTTAAAGAGAAAAATCCATTTAATAGTAATAGAAGGAGAAAAAACCAACACAACCAACCAGCAAACTGTGAAATTACTCCTAAATGATGGTAGCCCTGCAGCTCACATGACACAAAACTAAAATTCCAACTGATTTTTAACATTTTCCGGAATATTTCTACAGGAATGCAATGAGTAGTTAATACTGTGAAGTTATTTCATGAGATGATCTCAAGAACCTTTCAGTAACTGAAGGGGATTTACAAGAAAGATGGAGAGGAATTTTTCACAAAGGCTTGGAGTGAAAGGACAAGGGGGAAGTGGGACAGGTTTAGATGGGATGTTAGGAAAAAATCCTTCCCTGGGAGGGTGGGGGAGGCACAGCTGGGGCTGCCCCTGGATCCCTGGCAGTGCCCAAGGCCAGGCTGGACACTGGGAGGTGTCCCTGGGACACTGGGAGGTGTCCCTGCCATGAATGGGATGAGCTTTAAGGTCCCTTCCAACCCAAACCATTCTGGGATTTTCTGGGATTTCCCTTCCACAGCATCAGCCCTGCCTTTCTCACACCACTCCCCAACCCCTAACCCTGTACCCCTGCCATGACTCCCCCCATTCCAGACAAAGAACAGTTCCTACCTTTTGCTGTCCTTAGCAAGGACTGTCTCCCTGCCCCAAGCAAGGAATTCACTCTGGAAATGCTGGGTGGGATCTCCTTATCCAGGATGGGGCCAATACGTTTGCAAATTTGTAATAAATGATCTGGAGCCACATGTTTGTTGGACAGCACCTGACAGGAATTCAAGGTTTAAAGATTAGGTTGGTATACCCAAAACTAACAGGTGTATTTGATATTTTTGATATTTTTTAAAAGTTTAACTTACAGAGAAAAATCAATTCTAGTAAATTCAATGGGTACTCTGCAAGCCAGGGAGAGCTGTAGTAAAAATAACTGGAGTAAAGTGACTCCTGCACATCAGTATTTTATTACTTGAAGCTTGCAGGAATCCCCCCTGTGGCACCCACTTGTGAGGCACCTTGTACTACACTTGTACTAAAAACAAGAAATTAAATACAAACCCTCAGAACTCATGATCATGCACAAGAATTTATGCAGCTGCCACTGGTACTTGCTCAGTGAAGTGCAAACCAGCAGGTTTGAGTACAACCTCTCTGGAAAGAGCTTCCTTGAAGAACCAGTAGCACACAACCTAAGCCTGCCCTACTTCCTTACACCAAAGGCTCAAACCATTCCTCCCTACACTCAGCAATGATCCCACACTATCTGCATCAAGCAACCTAAAAAAATATCCACCCCCACCCACACTCAGATGTCTCAGACAAGAACAGATGTGAGCGGGTTTCGATGATTTTTCCCCCTTTTAATCTAAAAAATCCTTATTCTTATCAAGACAATAATGTAGAAATTAAAGACACAAAGGAAGAGTTTAAACAGCTTGGAGTGGAGCAAACTGTCAGAATGATAACAGAAGCTGTTGGGGAGGTGTGAAGGAGCTGGGATTGCCAGCCCCACACTCCCTGCAGGGTGAGCTGGCCATGACCAACCCAGCCAGCCCAGCAGCCCAGAGAGCTCAGGGATGTGGCTCCTGCCCAGCTCCCTCAGAGCACAGGCAGAACGAGCTCCTGCTGCTGCTGCTGCTGCTCCCTTGAAGGGCTGATGATGAGCAAAGTGTCCCAACAGGGCTGATCTGCTCACACAACAGCAGGAATTAAAATTCAAATAAAAATTAAATACCACACACTGCCAGAAAGTTGCCCAAATGCACACACAACATTCAAAAACTACAATTTCAGTCACATCCTAGCACTTGTTGATAATAAAATATAACTCTAAAGCTTGTGGGGCACAGGTTGTGCTCCTGGTGGGGTGGGAGGAGATAACATCAGTGAAAAGTTCCCATTACCCCACAGGCAAATCTGTCCAAGCAAATCAGCCCATCAGATGCCTAAGGTTGATGATAAGAAACATATCTGGTAGGCCCAAAGAATACAAAATGCAGTTTGACAGAATTTCTTTATCAATTTTGACTCTTGAATTGCTCCAGAGCAGTACCAGCCACAACACCCACACAGAAAGGTCAGCCTGCTTTCTGCCAAACACTAAAACCCTTTTTGTTTGCATGCCATCAGCAATAAATATATTTTCTAATATATTTTCTTGCAATTCCTTTCTTTTTGAAGCAGTTTTGCTGAGATTTTGGAAGAAACAATTATTTTAAAGATTTGCAATTCCACGCTGAGCAAAGTGGAATAGAAATAATTACAGCACATGACTGATCTGTCTGTGGTGGTTCCCAGAGATCCTAAAAACCAGAAACTAAAACTCTGAGAAGATTAATTTAGATGTTCTGAAACACTGCTGCCCTGTGCAGAGATTTCCTTTAAATTGTGCAGGAAGAAAGAAGCAGAAGCAGCACATGCTAAAGAATTAGTTTGACAATTGTGTGTTCAGAATAATCACAGTTAAAAAGCAGCCCTGAAATCAGAAAAACACACATGGGATCTCCCAACACTCTGCTTTCTGCCAGAACAAATGGGACAAGAAATCAACAATGAAGCAACTAAAAAAAACTCCCAACAATTCTTTCTAAGCCTAATCCTGCTTTCATCTTGCCTAAATTCAAGTCAGAGCTTGAAAATATTCCTGTTTAGCAAGGCCAGGCTGCTTAGTGACTTAAAAAAACTGATCTAAAACCTTCCCTGCTCAACTGACCACAACAAATAGAGGAAATGGAATCACACTTATCATGTCAAGCAATGCTCAAATAATTAAGAAAGTGTTTTAAACAACACTTCACTCCTTCTCTATGCAAATATGAGCCTGAGATCTTGAAGTGCTTCACAAGAGGGAGTTCACAGCAACAATCACTCAATTAACCCAGAATGCCTGAACCTTAGGTGGGAAAAAGCAAGGATAAACAATTCTTTAAAGGAAACACCATCAAATACAATAAAGCAGGATAAAAACCACACAGGGCAGGGCAGGCACCACCAGGCCATCAAACTCTGTGCCGCTTAAGAAACAGCAAAATTAAGCCCCAAAACACAGCTCTGCCTTCTGTAAAAAACAATTCAGAACACACCACACCAGATGTGGAAGGGAAGAAAGTAAATTTGGTGGAGAGATCATCCCCATCCTTGCAGCACTTTAGAAACAAAGCCACGAGCAGCGAGGAGCCGGCGATGTGAGCACATTCACAGCCACCACAAGTGCCAACCCTCGCTTTCTGAACAGCGATTTCATTTCCTAATCTGTTGGAGGGGGCTGAAAGAAACCAAGCAGAAAATAAATACCGACAAATCACAACGTGCCTCACAAGCTGGTGCCCGAAACTCCGAAATGAAACCTCGCTGGAGATTGGCTCCAGCCTGCATGTAGGCAGTGGCATGTACCACTGCACAACGCCAAGCTCCACCTCTGCTATGTAAACAATATCCTCAATTTAAACCACCGCTTGTGTTTTTGTTAGTCTGATGTGAAGAAATTAAAGGCCCTTTCTAAAGGAATTCCAGTGTTCAGAGGCAGGATGGTACAGGGAAGTGAAGATTTGGGCCTACTCTTAAAGGTAGAGGGGTCTAACATCAATGTCATCATCGTAAATAAAGGGGTTTTTTTAAAAGAGAAAAGTCTCACCAATTCTTCATAACTTCTATAATGCTCGTTTCCTTGCCAATCCAACCTTTTGGGAAGCAACTAAATAAAGGAAAAACAAACAGAAAAACCGTGAGCTGTGAAAGGGGAAAGGAGGGATTACAGACCGCATCCAAAACAATGTGTGTCGAGGGGGGGAAAAGTTGAGACAGCGGCAGAAACTTGAATGACTTGCAAAGGAAACTTTTGACTACAGCAAGATTTCATCAGAGCCCACACAGACCTGGTGCTGCTCCAGCTCCTGCACCAGCACCTGCAGAGGAAAGGGGAAAAACACAAAGTCAGGGACNTGGGGCTGGAGCAGCCTGGGACAGTGGGAGGTGTCCCTGCCATGGCACTGGAGGATTTTTAAATTCCTTCCAGCCCAAACCATTCTGGGATTCCAAGGACACAGAGTTTGTCAGACAGAAAAAAATTCTGCAGCTGGCAAGGAAATGATGATAAGATCTGGTAGTTGAGGATGGAAGGAGTTTAACTTTCATCTCAACTCTGTGTTTCTGGTTTTGAGGGGACAAGATTGGGATTTGTCTTAGCTCTTTAATCACTGTGGATTTTTTATATTGGACCCAAATCCACAAAAGTTCTGCTACATGTGAATATAATTCTGGCTTTGAAACCAAAATATATTTCTGCTGAGGATGCAAATCTCCACCTACAGCTGCCACACATTTCCCCACAGTGCCTCATCAGATTGTCTGAGTAGTTCTGACTGATGGCAGACAATTTGCTGACAAGGATGGCAGTGGTCAGCATGAAGATTTCCTTATGGGATTGTTCAAGTGAGTTGAACTCCTTGTAGGCAAAAATTCAGGCTAAAATGGNGATTGAACATTGGAATGCTCTGCCCAGGGAGGTGTTGAAGTCCCCATTCCTGGAGGAGTTCAAGGAACGACTGGAAGTGGGTCGTTGACAAGGGGTTGATCAAAGGTTGGGCTCGATGATCTCAGAAGTGTTTCCAAAGCAAAATGATTTTGTGATAATGCGATTCAAAGTGCACTGCGCCGCGTGGTGCCCAGTGTGTGCCGTGGCTGCAGGGATTGGGGAGCATCAAGGCTGTGTCCTGTGCTGTGACAGCAGAGCCCCGTGCGGGATTCCGGGGACACCTGGGGGTCCCCAAACACCACCTTGGGGAGGGGCATTTCCCACACACAGCACTGCTCCCCTGGCATCACTGAGCCAAAAAGAAACCAGCTCTGCCCCCATGCCTGTGTCACCTCGAGCCTGGCTCCTGGAGGCAGCATTTTGAGAGCCAGGACATCGAGCTGTGAGAATGGGCAGAGGGATGGAGCAGCTCTGCTGGCAGGAAAGGCTGGCACAGGATCCCTGGCAGTGCCCAAGGCCAGGTTGGACATTGGGGCTTGGAGCAGCCTGGGACAGTGGAAGGTGTCCCTGCCATGGCAGGGAGTGGGAGTGGATGATTTTTAAGTTCCCTTCCAGCCCAAACCATTCATCATCTTTTTTTCTTTCCCACAGCTGTTTCCCAGCCATGCCCAGCATGTACACTGATATAAACAGCAATGGCTGCACTTGTGTTACATTTTAAATCCCAGGTCTTTGCCTATTTAATTCCCCACCTCTGGTACCTTAAAATGCATTTTTAGAACCTTGAAGTAAATTACTTTTATGTCTCATTCACTTAACCCAAACAACTACTAGTAATATACAAAGACTACAGAGAATGTTCCAAGCAAGAAGTTCTGTTCTCCTGCTGTTGTATTTTGAATCCGATTGTGCTCCACTGGATTCACATTTGCATCAGCTCTCACTCCAGTCCTTAGCTGAAGACCAAATAAATTTGGTATCACACAGGACAGAGTAATATTGAGAAGTTACAATAAATAAAGCAGTGGGTGATGGATGTGGGGAGGTGCTGAAAGTGCACAGGATCACAGCACCAGAGACCCAAACACATGAAAAACAGACACTCTGTAAAAGCAGGGAGGAGTGGTTATTTTAGGGGATTTACCTGCAAGTTTATTACGTATTTAACTGGTGGGCTGAGCTTGCCAAAACCAGAGAGTAAACAATATCATGAAGCTAGATCTTGCTAGTATTAAATTAAACCAACGAATATGAGGGAGATGTTAGGGGAGGTGAGTGATAAAAGTGACATCAATTTCCAGTTTTGAAATATCCAAGAACTTGAAGCCAAAGCCAGGTGTGCTCTGTGAGGAACATTCCTGTGATGGAATGGAACAGGAGCATGTTGTGGTCTAAGGTTGGGAGACTTCCTATAGAAAAGTTAAAGATTTCTAAAGTATTGAAGAGATAAAAATGGTAAAATTCTTCTTGAATTGAGAGTATTGATGAAGAAAGCAAATCAGAGGTGAAACTGAAGTGGCTTTTTTTAGCAATAACTGCAACAATTTGAAAAAGGCACTAAAAATGTACAGGAAGCAGGTACTGGGCCTGCAGGTGTTACTTAGGAGCATAAACAAATTCTGGGGTAAGAGGAAAGAAAACAACAAAGCACAAACGTTTCTGTTTGAGCCTGGCTCCTCCCAGCACGAGGTGACAGTTTGTGGCTGCCATCTGACACTCACTAATTATTGACTTTTTTAAAGCAAACAGCAGCAGCACAAAGCTCTCACTTTGCAACTGCAAGTTTAGACCAACACTGCAGTTCTCCACTCCTGAACTGCCACCCATCTCTTTAAAGTACAATTTTTGCACTCTGAAGGACACAGTTACAAATCCAAACCACAGCACTCACATTGTGAATTCACACTCAATACAGGAGCTATGGAAACATCCTTTCATAATCAAGATTTATTTGGCTTTTGTTTGGTGATCACAAACACTATCAACAATTTTACAATTGTTTTTATTCACAGAGCTTTTTTTAATCTAAAAACTAATTGTTTTTTTTTCCTAGCACTATTTCAAATATTTTTCACTCAATCTTTGTAGACAAGCTGTCCTTGAAAACTAGATGTGAAGTTCCAGTATCTCAAATATTGACATAACAAGTTCCATCTGCCAAGCAGAAACTTTTACTTAAGACAGTATTTAAAGATATAAAATAAAAGTTTCCAATCTTTTTGCATCACAGCTACAAAGTTGTTGGAAAAAAATAAAGCTGCAACTACCAAAAATAACTTTGTCACTGATATACATCACTCAGCAGGGAATCCACCACTAGGGAGCAGTTTTATTAGATAAGCAATTCTACTGATGGTACAACCACAGAGAAAGATAAAGAACTAAAATGTTAAGACATTCTCAACACATCATTATGAATTCCAAAGTCTGATCTGTGTTATGCTTCATTTTATAGGATAGAAAACTGTCCCTTGGAGGCTGTGGAAGGTGAGGCTTAATCAAGGCCTCAATGCCCTCTCCTTAATTAACACACTGTTAATTTCTGGTTTCATAGAAAACAGACAACCAGTACATGATTTTACCACTTAAAAAAAGCATTTACACTTATCTAAATATGTAAAAAAATGGGTTGAGTCGGGATTCTCTCCTTTTTAAAAACGTGTTTTCTAGAACTACTAAAAAACTTGCATTTACAAAATAGTTGATAAAAATATTCCTCTGAATTGTACAAGAAGAAAGGTTTAAGGACCACCAGTTACAGATGTGGGAGCAGGTGTCACTCAGACTTCACTTCTTTCTCTGCAGCTGCATCAGGTGCTGGGGTCTGGAAAAGGGAAAAAAACCAGAATAATTCAGTGCAGGAAGTTTTTAGTGGTTCTGATTAGTTTGGAGTGGTTTTAATGCACCTTAAACCCTGCACAGAATAACCCTGACTTGTTCCTGCAGATTTCTTTTGGATCTGCTAAACCAAGCTTCACAAAAAGACTCCTTGGATCAACCAGGATGGATTGCAGGATGTTGATTTGTTACTAAACACACACTGCAAAGCGTTTTAATTGCATTACTGCCTTTATGACAGAAAAACCTCCAGCTGTTACACAGCTCCAGTTACACATGAGGTGTTTAGAAAATCCATGAGGTAACACTTCATGCCTTTAAACTTCAGTGCCACACTTTAAATATTCTTCAAATCTTAACCCTGTTTGAATTCTTAGCAAACAGTAACATCCAACAGGACAGACTCTGCCTTTTGGTACAAAATTACACCTGGAATTTTGGGTGCTGTGAGCAATCATCATCCATTCCTTGGACATTTACATAATCTCTGCTCTGTGAACTAAAGGGACCCCAGGTGGGAATGCTGCCAAATTTGGTTCCACTGCTGAAGCTTTACAAGCACAAATTAAAAGACTGCAATAATGCCAAAAATGAGTCAGCTGAAGAACCTGCACTTAGAGCACAACTTTTTCACACTGCAGGCTTGCAAATGACAAACTGTTACCCCAGAGCTCACTGAAGTACCATCCTGTACCTTCCCAAACAAAAACCAAAATATTTCACTGAACCAAAACTAAACCAAAATACTCCACTGAACTGAAAACGTCACAGAAACCTGACACCAACTCCAGGCCCATAATTACCACACTTGTATTTCATCCCTGAAAATCTTGGCCTGAATTTGTAACAATGTCTGCATTCCAGGAGTGTAATGCAGAGTGGAGGATGCTGAAAGGACCTGATCCACGTCTCCAAACAGTTCAGCCACTCTGGCACTGTGGGGCAGCCAAGACTCACCTGGCACAGCAACAACTCATTATTGGTTGTACTTTGTCCCTGCACCAACCTGTCCCTTCTCCCAGCAGGGTCTGTCAATGTCACCTCAACTTTGCCCAGATCACCTCTGGGTTTTTACTCAAGACTCTTTCCAGACCCAAGTAAAAGAATATTTCATTTGTCAACAAACTTTAGTAGCAAAAAAACTCCCCAACTTCTCAATAACAGCAAAACCCAAACCCAGCCCTGCAAACTTCACCTCCTCAGTTTTAGCTTCCCCATTTTCTGCAGGCAGGTTGTCCTTTGTCTGCTGCTCTTGGTTTGTCTCTTCTGTCTGTTTTCCTTTAGGCCCCTTCTTCCCCTTTGATGGAGCTTTCTTGTCCTCAGATTTATCCTACAATGAAATACATTGCCAGTAAGTCAATTGTTATGATCTTCCAGGTAAACCTTGAAAACAATAAAAAACGCAAAAAAGATAGATTTGCTAAGCTACCAACAACCCCTGATCACCCACTTATAAAATATTTCAGAATTACATAATTACAACACAAGACTTCTATACTTCAAATGCCAAAATATATTTTTCTTCATTATTATTTATTTAAAAAGCCCACTAAGTAACTCCATAATGAGCAAACTTCTCACAACTACAAAAAATAATGTGAGAAAAGTTTTAAAAACTGATAAAGTTGATGTAAAAAGTTTTTTTTAATGAATTAAATAATCTTTGACTGTTAATTAATAGCTTGAAGTAGTTTTAAGCAGAAAATCCAACATCAATGAGCAGCAGTAAGTGCAGATGCATCACAGACACTGTAAAAAAAAGGAAATTACAACTTGGTAGCATTGGAAAGCTTCCCCAAATTCTTCAGGCGAACAGCCCTGAGAGTGGGAACACACTGACAGTCAGACCACTGGAATGAAGGTGGGCTCCTGATCAGTAACTGCTCAAGAGGATTAATGCAATGAAAATATCAGGAAGTCTAAAAGATTATGAGTTTATCTGAAATTAGAGAATCAATTTCAGATATCAATTGGATATCAATCAATTAAAGAACAGTTTGGGCTGAGAAGGATCTTAAAGATCATCTCATCCAATCCCCAACACCTCCCACTGTCCCAGGCTGCTCCCAGCCCAGTGTCCAACCTGGCCTTGGGCACTGCCAGGGATCCAGGGGTGGAATTCCATCCCAGCCCTGCCCACCCTGCCAGGGAACAATTCCTCATTCCCAATGTCCCATCCAGCCCTGCCCTCTGGCAGTTAGAAGCCATTCCCTGTCACTCCATCCCTAGGAAATTCTCCCTTCATCTTTCTTATCAACTCCCTCCAGGTACTGAAAGGTCACGATGAGGTCACCCCAAAGCTTTTAACACATCACTAAGAAAAGCTTAAGATGACAAAGGAACACTTAACAACGCAAACAGCAGCGAGCCAACAGACACAAAGCCTTTTTTAATTCTCCCAAAAACCAAACAATTTTACACCTCACTTATTTCCACTGTGAAAGCTGTGCTGAAAAATTCAAAGATCACACAAAGCCACTTTCTTACACACAAACACCTGAAAGTTTGACCACATGAATGGAAGCTCATGTGGTTTTTAAGTGGCCAATACAATTTTTCCCTGTCCTAACACACTTCTTTAAAACATCAGTAGGTGTGTTTTACCCCCTCTTGTTACACAGATGAAATACAACGCTATGCACAGAATCATTCAGTTTGGAAAAGTCCTCCAAGATACTCCAAATTTAACTGAGCGCCACCAGAGCAGAGCAAACCAGATCCCAGCCTATCCTTGGACACTTCCAGGGGTGGTGACTTCACCCCCTCCCTGGGCAGCTTTTCCAGTGCCTGCCCAGCCTTTCTGTGAAGAAATCCCTCCTGATGTCCTAACGCAGCTGCTTTGACAGTCAGGTAGTTCCACCCAATATAACACGCATGGATCCGTGCCCACGCTTCCGTGCAATGCCTGGAGCTTAACAAGGCTCTACAGCCACAGCGATGGAATGTACCTGTAAATACTGGCAGAAGCACATCAAAACAACGCTTCAGCCAAGTTCCCACAAGGAACAAAACCATTCCAGCACGGTGCCCCCAAGCACCTCCACCTCCTCTCCCTTTCCTTTTCCAATTCATTCTCACCTTTGCCGGCAACTTTTTAGGTTTCGGCTCCGCTTTGGCAGGCGCGGGTTTCTGAGGAGAGAGAATAAATCAGGCGGGGATCCAGTCTGGGCACGGCCTCCCGCCCATCCCGGCAG